GTATTGCGATCTGACTTTTATGTTGACGACTTACTTACAGGAGCCGACAAATTAGAAGAAGTTAAACGAAAAAAGGATGAACTGACTGCAATTCTGAACAATGCCGGATTGCAAATGACAAAATTCACTAGCAACTCGTGCGAGCTCATCAACGACCAGCAAATGGATCAGGAGATCTCCATCGATCACCATGATGACAACATTGTAACCAAGACGCTCGGATTAGCGTGGGAGCCGAGCCATGACTGCTTTGTTTTTCAACACAAGGTGCAACATGATGGCATTGCTACACGCCGCACAGTTCTGTCAACCATAGCAAGGATTTTTGATGTTCTAGGCCTAATGGGGCCAATAGTAATACGCTGCAAAATCTTTCTTCAAGACTTGGTCATTCGGAAATTCGACTGGGATGACCCACTTCCTGCAAGGTTTGTCGAGATGTGGAACGAACTTAAGATTGACTTAGAAAACAGCTCAAGTCTCAAAATTCCACGATACGTAAGCACATCGCCATTAGCCAGAAGTGAGATACACGGATTTGCAGACGCTTCTGAACGTGCTTACGGCTGCTGCATTTACATACGCACAAGGATTGGCACAGACACTAAAGTGCATTTGGTTATAGCCAAATCAAAGGTGGCGCCAATTAAGGTTCAAACACTACCGAAGCTGGAACTATGTGCTGCAGTTCTGCTCAATAGAACTTTTCGCAAATTTCAAAGTAAACTGGACCAATACATCAACAATATTTATTTTTGGACTGACTCAAAAATTGTGCTGCAGTGGATTGGCATGCATTCGTCTCAACTAAACTGCTTCGTAGCAAATAGAATTGCTGAGTTACAGGCGCATTCTGGAGACGTAAAATGGAGGCACGTGCCCTCTGCTAAAAATCCTGCTGATATAATTTCAAGGGGATGCACAATTGAGGAACTGAAAACCAACATGTGGTTTACCGGCCCTGACTTTTTGAAGAAAGAGGAAATTTACTGGCCACAACTTAAGGAGCCATTGCCTGCACCTACAGAAGTGCGCAAACGAGCTGCACTGATCTGCATAGAAGAGTTGCAGCCTACAACTTCAATCATTGACACTGTCATCGAACGCTCATCGTCATACATCCGAATACTAAGAATCATGTCTTATGTATTTCGCGTATTCAACAGAGTTTCCGCTAATCGCCACTTAAGGGTTAAAGATATCTCGCAAATACAATCCTCAGAATTATGTGTAACGTTCTGGCGCATTGTAGCGCACATACAACAGTCAGCCTATCATGATGAGATTCTTCTATTAGCGAAAAATAAACAATTAAAGCCAAGCTTGCAAAGCCTTGCACCCTTTTTATGTTCAATGCAACTAGGAGAATTGTGTGTAGATGTTGTGAGAGTTGGCGGAAGGTTAGCTAAGGCCGAAATTCCCTATGATGCTAAGTTCCAAGCTATTTTGCCTCGAGACCATCGTTTCAGTCGCTTATACGTAGAGTATTTACATCGTCAAAATTTACATGCTGGGCCGAAAGTACTTGTTTCTCTCTTACGAGAAAAGGTATGGATCGTAAACGCCAGATTGTTAGCTCGACAGGTCGTACGAGCATGCACACACTGTTTCAAGTACAAACCTCGTCTCATGCAGCAAGTAATGGGAAATCTCCCTGCAGATCGCTTGCGAGCTTGTCGCCCCTTTATGATCACGGGCGTAGATTTCTGCGGACCGTTTATGACGTCGTATCGAATACGTGGAAGGGCGCCATACAAGTCCTACGCAGCAGTATTTGTTTGTTTCGCTTCGAAAGCGATTCATATCGAGTTGGTCAGCGAACTCTCAACTAACGCATTTCTATTTTGTATTCGAAGATTTATTTCACGCCGTGGACTGCCTGAACGCATTTACTGTGATAATGCGACAAATTTTGTTGGCGCTGCAGCAAAATTAGCTGATTTTAAGAAAGACGCTCTTAACTCAGAGGCAACCCACAGCATCAACGAATTTACTTCCTGTAAAGGCTTTGAGTTTGAGTTTGGCGGCTTGTGGGAAGCAGCAGTAAAATCAGCAAAGTCTCTTTTGATAAAGAACGTCGCAGAGGCCAACCTCACTTTCGAAGAGCTGCAAACGCTGTTTACTGAAGTGGAGGCTATTTTGAATTCACGACCAATTGCCCCAGTGTCAGATGATCCAAATGATGGCGACGTACTCACACCAGGCCATGTCCTTATTGGTACATCACTGGTATCCGCACCAGAGCAGATCCTCTTCAATCAGGAGGACACTACCAATCTATGCTACTTAGACCGCTGGCAAAAGGTGACCTTTCTAAAGCAGCAATTCTGGGACAGATGGCATCGTGACTACATTCACACGCTGCAAAGGAAAACGAAATGGACCTGTGCGCAGCCAAACATTCAACAGGGACAACTGGTTCTTGTACATGAAGACAACGTACCCCCGCAAACATGGAAGCTGGCACGCGTAACTTCGGCTATTCCTGGAGAGGACGGCAAGGTTCGAGTGGTTGACCTGAAAACCAGCAAAGGAACCTTTCGTCGACCTATTCACAAGATCGCACCGTTACCGAATTCTCACTTTTGAAAGTAGATCCTTTCAAGGGGGGAGGATGTTGGAGGACAACACAATAATATAAGCGCTATTTGATATGTAAAGTAACATCACTCACTTTTGTTAAGTAGCCCATCTGGCAACTTTATTTACGTTTGTTTTTTACTTATGTTTTCACTCAACTCTTCTGCGAAAGAGAACAAACGCACTCATAGCGGCATAACGCATTATTAGCTATGCCCTTTTTTGTAACAAGGCACTCGCATTTCGGACTTGCATGGTATCAGTCATTTCGGCACGCACGACACATAACATACAAATATACACACATACACACAATCAACCTTGGCGAACCTTAAATTATTTGGGAAAGGTACAGCAGCGCCAAATCGGCTCAACAAAAAACATATCAAGTGGATCGAAGACCCCTCCGGAGCACGTCTGGAACAGTAACGTTTTTCCAAAAATTTGACGAGCAGCAACTCCGGTTAAAGACCCAACTTCTACAAAGTTAGGCTTCAGTAGTATATCTACTGTTGGTGCGTAACAACGCTTAATATGCTCCACGATCAATTTTAAAACAAATGATTTACCACTACCTGCACCGCCCGTGATAAAAAGTAACAGCTGACTTTCGTGTCTTTGCAAATCGTGTTCGATCGCCGTTCAAACGTTCTGAAATAAATTCTTCTGTTGTACATTCAATCCGCGAATGCTTTCCAGGAACAATTCATCCGTCATGACGGCTCGTTCTTCCATGCCTTCACAAAAGTTATCATCGTCATGTATAATTTGTTCCCTAACACATAAAATGGGTGCATTGTCGACATTGGTTTCACGCGCAACATTAAGTGCGGTAGCTTGAGTTCTGCTGAATAATTAGTTCAGCGTATCCGAATTGTTCTGCGCTGATATTGCCCTGCAACGGGCGAAGATCACTTTGACGCCTTATAAAAGAGCCTTCAGTGGTTTCATTTGCCAATAGTAACTCGCCTTCATTACGAAATGGTATGTGGCATACTATTAAACTGTAATAGTATTGTAATGCAAATTGGTACTGCATAGTTCAAACTGCGAGCTTGGCGCTCAAGTATCGATTTGTGCTTATCGATACGCCCACATGCGCCACCTATCAACAGCTGTTTTTACAAGATCCATGCTGCCGCAGCCAACTTCAAGGCTTCAACCGCAACTAACTTTAAGAAGTTGTTCTCTTCCTGGTGTGCGCTGGACCGACACGGTTGTGTTCTCCGCTGATGCGGATCTTTTAAGCATCTCCATATGTGTAAATTAAATCCTTAAGTATTTGGGCCATCTGCCTGTTTTGATCGCCATTGAAGGCTAATAAAGTGAAGTAAAGGAAAGCTGAGTTGAACGGCGCAATTATTTCTTTGGCGCTGCTGTTAATTCTTTGAAAGTGGGCCCTTCTCTGACAAGCGTCGACCACGAGCGCCTCCGTTATACAGATTTGTTGCTGCAGCCACTTCGCCAGCCGCCACGCTGCCGGTCCCTGCTGCTTTACACACCTGCCCGCTATTGTTTTGCGTAGCGAATCGCCGGTCACCGCTCGGCCAAAGGGCGATTTACGCTACATTGGTGTCAGATGTGGGGTTATGTTCGATCACCGCGAGGGATCCTAGCCACACAAAATGCTGAAAACTAAAAATAAAGCAAACGATAAGTGTTGGCAAGCCATCGAAAGCTTGAGCAAAACAGTGAAGGCCATGCACGAGACATGGCGAGAAGTTACCCAAAACATGCTACGTGTTTTAATAGGAGTCCTCGCTGCGCTTATGCCGAACACAGGAGGGAATGATCAGGAGTCTGCCGCACCGCATCTGGCTGCTGCTTTAAACACTGACGTGCCAACCAGAGAGGCCACTCAGGCAGCAGCCCATGCAATGCTCCAGCGGTTGGAAATACAGCCGCCGTCGTCCTATTCAACGTGGACACGTGACGCGCACCAGCACCAAAGTGCTGGCTCCATGGCGCACGCGGCTATAGCTGCTGCGTTTATTGCTGCGGCCCACGCTACGACCACCGAACAGGCGATGGGACAACGGATGGTAATAAACGGAGACACTCTTGCTGAAAATGTGTCTCCGGAACCGCAGCGCCCCATGCATTTGCCCAGTCAACTTTTGTCGACGCTCGGACGCCCACCGCTGTCAAACAACGCTCCGGCCGCAGGAGAGAAGACTGTGCGTAATGACTGTTACCAATCGAAGACGCCGCAAGCTGCTTGGTCTGCTGCCGTTGGCCCTGAATGGGTGGCCCGCTGCACATCTGTCGGCACCGCAGCCCCCACTAGCGAGTGACCGCTACAGGGCCGCCACCCATCGCGCACAGCCTCACAATTCCCCCACAGCGCTGCCAGATCAGGCAGACCCTTTGAGTTATGTTTTGACACTGTTGGAAGTCAGCGCCCTCCGTTCAGCCCCAGTATGCTGCCCGCCTACGATGGCAACTCGCCGTGGCCGGACTATGAGCGCATAGTGGACACGTTGGCCGAATTTTATGGCTGGACTGATGAGGAGAGGCGGATCGGCGTCGCGTTGAACCTCAAAGGACGCGCACTAAAGGTATACAACACCTTGCCCGGCTGGCCAGACCCACCCTATGACACACTTTGCACAGCCATGCGAAGATGGTTCACGCCCAGTCAGGAGTCATACCTTCAACAATTTTATGGTCGGCGGCAGAACCTGCGCGAGACTCTGGAGGATTTTGCGCTGGATCTGGAGCACTTGGCGCAAAGAGCGTTCGGCAGCGTACCTGAAGCGCTGCTTAATTTGACACTCGTGCGACAGTTCGTAGAAGGAGTTCGTGAGTCGGCTTTGCAACGCACCTTGGCCGCGCAAGGGCCCCGCGACCTGGCGGAAGCCCTCGGAATAGCTAATCGGGTGTACACTCAATGCATCCATAAGACAAGTAAGCCCATATTCCAGGTCGAGCAAAGTAGGCCACCAGTGTTGATACCAGCACGAAAGAGACGTCCTCGGAAAGGTAAACGTGAGGCTGCCCAACCGCATCGAGGAAACTCGGCGGGAAATGTGCGGATGCCAGTTCTCTGAGGCGGGAATTGGCATCTTTCATCAGCGCCTCGCCCGTATCGCAGCCGCCGCAAGTTGATGTAAAACCTATCATCGTCGATGCTTCCGTTCCGGTAGTAGGCACTCCCCTAGCACCTGTGTCAGACAGCATCCAGGAGAAGGAAAGCGTATTAGCTGCGCTTTTCCGAGAAGCCCACGAGGTCAACAATAAGGCAGCTGGCGAGACGGAAGCTTCCAGTCAGACCGTCGAGTATCAGGCACCAGCTTCCGTGGCTACGACAAGCGACATACCAAAAGTAGCTTCAACTCTATTTCCAATCTATACACAAGGCAGCCAAAGCCTGCACTTCGTCGTGATCCTACAGGATCGCCCCGTGCCTATGGTTGTAGATACAGGAGCCGCCGTTTCGCTGCTAAACTACAGGCATTTGAACCAACCAATGCAGACTACGCCTTGCGATGGTTTGCTGAAAGCACCGTCTGCCGAAACATTTCGAGCTACCAAGCGAGCAACAGTAAGATTTCGGCTTGGCAAGCGAACACTCGGCCATGACTTCCTTCTTGTTGGTGGCGACACACCCAGCTTGCTCGGCATTGATTTTTTGCTACAACAGAAGGCCGTGGTGAGTTTAAAAAGGCTGTGTCTAACATTTGGCGGCAGCGCCATTCCTCTTTTCCCCCCAGGGCGAGCCGTACCTTACATCGCCAGTTTGTCTGCCACAAAGCTGTGACGCATCTGTGCGAATCACCTGTGCCGCAGTCGAACCTCAAGGGAGCGTGATTATAGAGCCGGCTGCCCAGTCTGAGCTGCCGCCTGGCGTTATGGTTGGCCGCACGCTTGTGGATACGACTAAGGGAGATATGACATTGCGATTGCTGAATTTGACTGCACAGGAGCAAGTACTTCCGGCTTTTGCTGCGCTGGGCCGCCTGGAGCCAGCAAGTGTGCTGCACGACGATCCGCGGCCCGCGGTTCCTCCTGACATCGAAAACTGGGATTCTCTAATTGACGATGGGCTGCCGCCATCTCTGCGACAATCGTTACTGGAACTACTGCACAGATATCACCACCGGCCAAGCGCACCCAATAAAACAGCCATCTCGTATAATTCCACTGGCCCGTAAAGACGTGGTCTACACACTGGTTGAGGATATGAGCGCTCGGGGTGTTATTCGACCGTCTACAAGTCCATGGTCATCTCCCGTAGTGCTCGTCAAAAAGAAAGATGGGTCCATCCGTTTTTGTGTAGACTATCGCCGACTTAATGACGTAACCATGAAGGATTCCTATCCTTTGCCAAAAATGAACGACATATTGGCCACGCTACATGGTTCCCGCTGGTTCTCTACTATGGACTTGCAAAGCGGATATTGCAAAGCGGAAATGGACGAACAGTCGCGTCCAAAAACGGCTTTTGCGTGCGACGCTGGACTTTTTGAATTCAACGTCATGCCGTTTGGGCTATGCAATGCCCCCGCCACGTTTGAGCGTCTGATGGATGGCCTATTCTCAGATGTGGCCTGGAAATCCATCTTGGTCTACCTGGACGACGTCATCGCGCATTCGCGTACAGAAAAAGACCACTTAAAGCATCTGGAAGACATTTTTCGTCGCCTCGCAGAAGCTGGACTGAAGATGAACCCCCAAAAATGCAACTTCTTCCAATCTGAAGTTGACTATCTTGGCCACGTGGTTGGTCGCAGTGGCCTGAAGGCCAGCGCATCGAAAATTGAAAGAGTGGTCACATGGCCAACTCCGTTAAACAAAACCGAAGTCAGATCTTTTCTAGGACTCTGCTCATATTATCGCAAATTTATTGCAGATTTTTCTACCACTGCACGACCGCTACACGCGTTGACAGAGGCTAAGCGTGACTTTTTATGGGACGAAGCAGCTACTGGCGCCTTTGAGTCGCTGAAAACTAAGCTGACATCGGCTCCCATACTGGCGTTTCCAAGTGAAACTGGCGAGTTCATACTGGATACTGATGCCTCCGACAGCGGCGTGGGCGCAGTTCTTAGCCAAATCCAAGAAGGCGTTGAACGTGTCATCGAGTACTACAGCAAAACCTTGCAGCCGGCCGAGCGCAACTACTGCGTCACACGACGAGAGTTACTAGAGGTAGTGAAAGCCACCAAACACTTTCATCACTATTTGCAAGGGCGCGAATTCTTACTGCGCACGGACCATGCTTCATTGATCTGGCTGTGCAACTTCAAGGAGCCAGAAGGACAGATAGCCCGTTGGATCGAGCGACTGCAGCAGTACAACATGCGCATTCAACACCGTGCTGGTACCCAACACGGCAATGCAGACGCTCTATCACGGCGGCCATGCGGGGATTGTCGTACTTGTGAGCGAGCTGAGCGACGCGATGGACACTTCGTGCTGTTCACCCAAATCATGGCAGCCAGTTATGCGCAGCAGCAAGAAGCTGACAAGACACTGACCGTCGTCCGCCAGTGGGTATCCAGTGCAAAACGCCCACCAAAATCAACCTTGTGGGGCAAGTGCCCTACCCTGAGAGCATTCTGGCACCTTTTTGATCGCTTGCAGCTTGATCAGGGTGCACTTACGTTGAAGACGACTAGTGGTGTTCCCGTGCTCGTGGTTCCTGAGGCACTCATTGATGACAGGATTCGCAGCATTCACAACTCTACGACTGGCGGACACTTTGGTGTAAAGGAAACTCTGGCCAAAGCGAAAGCTCGATTTTTCTGGATTGGCCAAAGCTCGGACGTCGCACTCTGGTGTGCACGATGTGACGTTTGCGCCGCTCGTAAGGGCCCTTCACGCAAAACTATCGGGCAATTACAGCCCAGCGCTATCGGCAGCCCATTCGAACGGCTGGCGATCGACATGCTGGGGCCACTGCCACTCACCCCACACGGCCATCGCTACATTGCAGTGGTGATGGACTATTTCACTAAATGGCCCGAGTGTATTGCACTACCAAACCAAACTGCTGACACAGTTGCACGCGCACTAATCCAAGAAGTCTTTTGCAGGTTTGGCGCTCCATTTATTCTCCATTCAGATCAAGGTCGCAACTTCGAGTCGGAATGTGGGCATATGTGGGCATACCGCTCAGCAACCAACGAAGCCACCGGATTCTCCCCGGCTATGCTGGCGCTTGGCCAGTTCACGGTTCCCTTGTGAGTTGACTTACGGCCTGCCATGTAATGACGAAACGCCCTACCCTATCTTCGTGGAGAACTTGCGCGAACAACTCAAAACGGTTCACACGGTGGCGCGTCAGCAGCTGCAATCAGCTGCCGCCAACAACAAGATGCGATACGACATGAGAGCGAATCCCAGGGAGTTCGTGCCCGGCGACAAAGTCTGGTTATATGCACCCGCCCGCAAAGTGGGTCGTTGCCCCAAGCTGCAGTCGGACTGGATTGGACCTAGCCTGGTCGTGCGTCGCATATAGGATCTTGTGTACACGGTGCGCCTGCCTGGCAAGCGATCTACAAAAACTGTGCACGTCAACCGTCTCGCACTCTATGGAGGAGATGGTCAAGATGTACTCGGCCAGGAGTCTCGAGTCTCAGCGGGGGGTAATGTAATGCAAATTGGTAGTGCATAGTTCAAACTGCGAGCTTGGCGCTCAAGTATCGATTTGTACTTATCGATACGCCCCCATGCGCCACATATCAACAGCTGTTTGTTACAAGATCCATGCTGCCGCAGCCAACTTCAAGGCTTCAACCACAACTAACTTTAAGGAGTTGCTCTCTTCCTGGTGTGCGCTGGACCGACACGGTTGTGTTCTCCGCTGATGCGGATCTTTTAAGCATCTCCATATGTGCAAATTAAATCCTTAAGTATTTGGGCCATCTGCCTGTTTTGATCGCCATTGAAGGCTAATAAAGTGAAGTAAAGGAAAGCTGAGTTGAACGGCGCAATTATTTCTTTGGCGCTGCTGTTAATTCTTTGAAAGTGGGCCCTTCTCTGACAAGCGTCGACGAGCGCCACGAGCGCCTCCGTTATACAGATTTGTTGCTGCAGCCACTTCGCCAGCCGCCACGCTGCCGGTCCCTGCTGCTTTACACACCTGCCCGCTATTGTTTTGCGTAGCGAATCGCCGGTCACCGCTCGGCCAAAGGGCAATTTACGCTACAGTATGCTTCTTTGTCACTATTAATTGTATAATAGCGGGTACGTAATACTGCCGGTCTATTTCTTACACGTATTCTAGTGTTGTCCTGCAATCCGAAGTACCTCATTAGTGTAGTATCTTCGTCCCTCAGTTCTGCATCTCCATTGTCCTCTGACCATGTCGTGTTAGGGATAGTTTCAAAACGGACGGCAATTTCCGCAAGGCTTAAATTCTCCAGCTCGTTTGGGCGTAACATATATCGATCAAAAATGTTATTATAAATGCTGGTTTCATCACTATCGAATTTTAGAAGTCTGAAACGTTCCTCCGGCGTGCAACTATTTACTAAAACAGTCTTTCGACATTTTCAATGGCAAATGGCATAATCTGTATGAGCGTTCGGGCGCACTCACCAGGCGTTGACTTAAATAGTTATTGATACTGAAAAGAATTGTTTCCAAACATCACCACCTTGTCTTTTAGCATTCGAAATAGCTTATCGAATTACATCACCTGTATCATGTGGTTCGCACTTACTCGCATATTTTGCGACGTAGTAGGCTACAGCGGTGACACTACCACACGGTTGGACGTAAATATTCCCCTTCCAGAACTGGATTGTAATTGTTGACAATGGTTTCATTTGAGGTTCTTTTCAATAAACAGAATCGTCCGCTGTTAGCAAGTGCTTCATTTGGTTCTAGACAAACTGTCTTATCACTTGCTCGGCCTGGAAAATCAAATCGACAACCATCAGCTGGACGGTTTTTATACCCTTTACCCGTAGGGTAAAAAGGGTATATTAGGTTTGTGCAAAGTATGTAACATACAGAAGGAAGCATCTCCGACCCCATAAAGTATATATATTCTTGATCAGCATGACGAATTAACGAAATGTATAACTGAATTTTGTCTGGCAACGCCAGTTATCTTAATTGTTTATGCATCTCCTTCGCTGTAGGCTTTGTCATGCCTGCACTAGTTCTTTATCATTAGTCTAGTAGCGACTCGCTTCTGTAATGGTCGAGCCCAGTCTCGACTCGATAAAGCTATTGGATTAAATGCAGTGGAGTTTATTATAACGTTGTACAAAACCCAATAAAGTGGGGAGCTACTTGTTAGTGCAAGGCGAATAACTAATTTTGCTGGATTCTGCAGCTACATTTTGGCGATCGTGACAGGACCCTTCACCACCGACAATCTCTCCACACACTGCATCGCATGATCGACAACCCGCAAGAAGTACCGCAATAGTTTAATCGCAAGTATACCTACACGTATTAATACATACGTATATACATAGAATTGCGAAATATACATACATACATAGTGCGACATATGTATATAGGCACTCGCATGTGCTTAGCGTTACTGTACTTATCACTCGTTGCTTTAATTTCATTTGGCTGCCTTTTAGCAGCGTGCATTCAATTTTCGCTTCACTCACGTTGAGTGAAACCTGAGTATTTTTTTTTTTTTGATTCTGCACAACTCATTATTCCACTCATAATTCACAATGAACAGTGGAAAGGCTGAAGGCGAATGTGCGAAAGCTTTGGCAAAGTTGGTAAACTTAAGGAATCAACGCACATCATATCTACGGCATATTGAAAACCTTCACAATAAGGTAATCGAATCTGGAGAAGGTGAAGATCTTCATGTGCTTGAGTGCAGACTGCAACTGTTGGAGTCACATTATCGTCAGCTGTGCAACGTGCAATCTCAAATCGCGTCGCTGTATTGCACTGATGATGCACGCGCCGAACTAGAGGAAACATACATTGCTGCAAAGGCTAAAATTAGGACTCTTTTGCAAAGTCAATCATTACAGAAGCCAGCTTCATGAACGCCACTGTGGGCAATGGAGTT